TGTGTGTGTGTGTGTGTGTGTGTGTGTGTGTGTGTGTGTGTGTGTGTGTGTGTGGTGGGGGTAGGTATAAGGACTGCTAGAAACCAATTCCTCCTTTCTGTTGTCACAAGATCCCAAACCAGTCAAACCAGCTTCCAGGACAGAAGCCTGGGGCGGGCTACTCATTCCTGGGTTTCCCTGCCCCCTCCCCAAAACTCAGGCTGCCCTTTTGTTCTCTCCTGGAGGAGGTGAAACCTGGCTTGGGCCCAGAGCGGGAGCAGCCGGGTGTGAGCAGGCCTGGCCCAGAGGCCCTGCTTCTCATGCCTCTTCTCCCCACAGTGGACTCTGTCTGCCTCAAATGGGCCCCCCCAAAGCACAAGCAAGTCAAACTCTCCAAGAAGTGAGCAGCCAGTGCCCTTGCTGCTGGATCTGTGCCTCCTTGCCCCTAGCCTGTAAATATGTACAGACCTGTTTCGTCCATTTTTAATAAAGTAAATTCTGCTGGTGGCTTTGGACTTTGGAAGTAGAAGAGAGAGACCAAGAGTTGACATTCCTTATTTCACTTCATTCACAGCTAGTTGTGCTCAAAACATTTTACTCCTTCTTGCTCCTTTTAATCCCCATCCCTGATCCCAAAGCCCCAGCCAGTTCCGGTGGGGGCTCAGTCCTCCGGAGTCCAGGATTCAGAGCTCAAGGGCAGCTTGGCAGCCAATGGGGAAAGATTGGGGCCTTTCCTGTCTCAAAGGCAAGCATGCCAGAAGACAGGAAGATGGCAAAGCAATGGGCTCATCAGGCAGGGAAGGTGGAGCACTAAAGCCTGAAATTCAGTGGCGGTCAGCTGGGTAGCTGCCCAGTCTTCCCAAAACAGGTGGGAGTCAGGGCTCATTTTCATAGCTAAAGGTTCTTGGGAACTCCACAGGAGCCCAACCAATAAGCTGTGGATAGCCAGTGGAGGCAGCCAAAGGTTTTGGCCAGTACTACAGACTGTAAAACCTTTGATCATGGGTTTTAGTCCCAAAGAGCAAATCCAGAAGAATGGGTTCAAAGATCAGGATGGTACCCTGGTCTCACACAGTCTTGGGAGGAATGTGTGACCAAGCCAGACTCCAGGCCCAAAGGTCACAAGGGGCCAGGTTCTCTCCTGGGAACAGGCATATGTTCTTGGTGTATTGTGTCAGTCCTGCAAGCAGGGTCAGCTTCCAGAGTGGGTAGCTTAGAGCTCATGCCAAGAGCAGAAGAGGCCCAGGATCAAGCCCAACGGCAGCAGGCGAATAAGACCTAGCAAATTCTGTGCTGGGGCAGAATTGAAGGCTAGACTTTGGTTGCAGAGGTTGCCATCCGGCTGGGACTCTTGGATTTGGGGTACCACATGAGGCTGGAGTTCTGGCACTTTGGAGTGGATCCAGGAGGCATAGCTAGAAGTCAGAGTATACACACCAGGCCTGTTGGGGGCTCCACAGGCATCACCCCAGCTCACAATGCCGGCTAGGTACCAGAGGCCCTCCACAGGGCAGGAGAGTGGGCCTCCAGAATCACCCTGAGGAGAAAAACATACAACAGTTGTCAGGACCAGACTCTAGGCCTCCAGTCATCCATGCCAGCCCATCCAAACTTCACCTCCCAAGAGGCATTTGTCTCATCGCTTCTTCTGGGATCCCTTCACTTACTTGGCAGGCATCCTTGCCCCCATTCACATAGCCAGCACACAGCATGTCCTGCTGGATAAAGTGAGGCTCTTCAGGCTTGGCATCAATGTTGTATAGGCAATTACATGTCTCACGACTGATCAGTGGCACTTCAAGTTGCTGCAGTGGCCTGGGGACCTGGAGACTCACTGTGAGGCAAAAGATGTTTACCTAGGGGCTCCTACCCTGAGTCAGGCTCCCCTCCATACCTCTAGGCATATAGTGCCCCCACCTTACCTGAGGGAGCCACATGGCCCCATCCAGTGACTGTACAATGGAGGCCATTAGGGAAGGAAGCATTGGCTGCAGGGAGGCAGATGGGCCGGATATTGCGGGAGAATGTGATGGGTTCTTTGAGGCAGAGCAGTGCAATGTCGCCCTCTGAGCCCTCCTGTTGGTAGGTGGGGTAGGTGATGATCTCTGCCACTCTGCGGACCACCGTATCAGGGCTGTAGGAGTCAAGCTGGTGGGCCCCCAGCTTTATCTCATAATCAGTGAGATAGTGTTCCCTGCATGCAGAGGAACAAAGTCTTGGGACCCTGATCACTGTTGTCTTAATGGGATCCTAACCCAGAATCTGGTCCCAGACAGCACTTTTAAAGCCCAATTTGTCCTGTGACCTCCAAACCTCCCTTCACCTCTCACTGGTCTTTCAGACTTTGTTGATACCCAAGTACCCTAACCTCTGACCTGGACTGACCCGCTTACTTTGACATCCAGACCATTTTCTACTCCCCACCCTGCCCCATCCAAGTAGTACCTGGGGAAGCAGTGAGCAGCTGACAGCACCCACTGCTCAGACACAAGAGACCCGCCACACACATGGACGCCATCATAGTTGATGCTGACCTGCCAGGGCCACTGACCAGGAGTTGCGCTGCTACCACCTGTAATGCGTGCTTGAACAACTACACCACAGGGGACTGCCAGGGAGAAAGGGAAAGGGAGGTCAGGACCTTCTAGGGCCCCCATGCCAGGTCCTTAGCCCTGCCATCCCAGGAGATCTGGTTTAGAGTTTGGGAAGTGGTTAAGTCCATGGTCAGCCACCACTTTGTCCCCGTGGTGGCTCTCCAGGTACTATTCCTTGCTATCGACTACCTGTTACCCAATTCAGGTCTCGTGGCGATCTCCTTCCTCAAGCCTGCCTTCCTGCTTTCCATCTGTTCAACCCCTTAAAAATCTGAAGATCTGGGGCTGGGGATGTGGCTCAAGCGGTAGCGCGCTCGCCTGGCATGCGTGCGGCCCGGGTTCGATCCTCAGCACCACATACCAACAAAGATGTTGTGTCCGCCGAGAACTAAAAAATAAATATTAAAAATTCTCTCTCTCTCTCTCTCTCTCCCCCCCCACTCTCTCTTTAAAAAAAAAAAAAAATCTGAAGATCTTTATAAAGCACAAATCTGGCCAAGTCACTCGGGTTTCCAAAACCTTTTCATGGCTTAAGATACATTCCAGACCCTCCATGGCACTACCCTCCGCTCCAGCCATCCTGCACATTTCAGTCACTTTTGTTTTCTGGATCTCTGCTGAAACCCCGGGAGCTGTCTATCATCTACCTACCCAGGCTGGGAAGACATTCACAGTTGATAGCCTTTCCCCTCCTTGCTCTGCTTGGCTGTGGAGATCATTCAAAGGGCAGCCTCTCTGTCACCTGTGCTGACCCTGCCAGCTGAGTCAGGCATTGCCTCTATGCTTTTAGCTCTTAGGCCCCTGCCCAGGCTCAGTTGTTCTGGTGTCTATGATTCTTTCAATCACAGCAACCTGGGCATTCCTTAGGGACATTTCTATGTCCCTAATACTCAGCACAGTCCTAAGCACACAGTGAATATGGTCGAACAAATGAACAGAACTGGGGTCCCATGACGTGAACAGCTAGTGTCTGGGAACAGACCAGCCCTTCCCAAACTAAGGCCCCAGTATGGAGTTGGGCCCAGCTGCCCTTCACAGTCACTAGGAGCAGAGAAAACTGCCAGCCAGACTCCTCTGCTCCTTCATAATCATGACAATAGCTAGTACTTAGGGAGTGTTCCAGAAGGCCCAGATGGGGCTTGCATTTCCTTTATCACCTAGAAAGCTCACTACAGCCCCTGGATATGGAGATAGCTCCATTTTAGAGGTAAAGGAATGTGGCCAGTAGATATAAAGCTGGGGCTGAAAACCTGTCTGACTCAAAGCCAGTGTGTGTGCCTTCAAAAGACCCTGGATTTGTGTCCCTCAAAATGACCTTAAGTGCCCCACTTTTGGAGTCTGACATGGGTTTCAATAGAGTTCTACAACTTGCTGGCTGTATACCCTTAAACAAGTCACTGCTTCTCTGTATCTCAGATTTTTTAATCCATAAAGTGAAGGCTATATGCGCCACTCACAGAGCTATTGGGAGATTTAAGATAACGTGGTGAGACAGTCCAGCAGAGGGTCAGGCCCTCCTCAGACCCACTGGGGAATATGAAGCCATGTCCCTTTCCTTCCCCCTCTTCTATTTCCCAGAAAGCCTTACCTTCAGTCCGGTCAGCTCCTGGAGAAAAAAAGAAAGAGGGAGGGGTAAGAAGGAAAATCAGAGATCCAAGACCCATTAGCACCTGCCACTTCTATGGAGGACTGGCCCCTTTCCTAGGAGAGCCAATACCAAAAGGAGAGGGAAGCCAGCTCCAGAGAGGCCTGGGATTCCCAAGCCCAGGATAAGGACTATTCACCTGAGAAGGATTACCTTTGCTCCCTCTTAGGCATGATCCCTTCCCATGCCCCACTCACATGTACTTACCCATCCCCGTTTGGAATAATCCAAGAAAAAGCAAAAAGGCCATAGCTTCCAGTTGCCCAGGTCCTGGGCCTGCCCTCTGGCCCATGGCCCAGGATGACAGCCCCTGGGGGAAACACCAGGCACGAAAAGAAAGGAACGTAGGGCTGGTTTTGGCAGGATCTAAAACCAGGCTCAGAAGTAAGGAATCCCAGAATCCAGGTTGGGGAGGTGGATCAGGTGTCCAAGTCTGGCTTTTGAAACAGGGAACAGCCAAAGTTGTGAGACGCCTGGGATTTCCGCAGCTACCAACGTGGTGGATGTGTCTCCGTCACAGCCTGGTCATGCAGAGACCGCTTCAGGGAGGTGCCTCCTTAGGGCAAGGCACCTGCCTGCTGGCCCCTCCCTTAGCCCCGCCTTCTTGATTTAGCTCTGCTGGCTGTATTTGCCTCGGAGATCTGGAGTCTTTTCAGATATCTAGGCTGTGTGAGGGTTAGGGTAAGGCTCCCTAGCTCAAGGGCAGCCCCAGGCAAGGCCTGCAATCCCAATGGCTGGCCAGCTATCCCCAGGATTCTCAGTCCTTCAGACCAGTTATGCTCCCCAGGCCTAAGGAGGGAGGAGCCTCCCTCCTTCCTTAGGCCTGGTATTTTAACCTAGGACACTGGGGTCTGCCCTGGGCCAGGGCCATTCCAGGCCTTTTCTCTAAACCCTCAGACTTCCTGCCCTGGTGACTATGACTGGCCTTGCCAATCATCCCACAAGTATTTACTAACTACCTACTGTGTGATGGACAAAAATGGGGACTGGCGTGAGTGCCCAGCAGCTGGAAAGGTCCTTCTTGGAAATGCCTTGAGAACTGAGACCTATGGGGGTTAAGCAAAGTGTTTTTTTTTTTTTTTTAATATTTATGTTTTAGTTTTAGGTGGACACCATATCTTTATTTTTACATTTATGTGGTGCTGAGGATCGAACCCAGTGCCTCCTGCATGCTAGGCAAGCAGTCTACCACAACCCCAGCCCCTAAGCAAATTTGTTAACAAGGCAAGTATGAAAAAATTTCTCAAGTGGGGCATGCAGGTGGCTGAGGTTCAGGGAAAGAAGACTGGCGTGACTGGAGTGGGGGTCAGGCACATCCTCTGTGAGTGTGAATCTATAGCACTTGGAATATAGGTTGGACTCATGACTGAGGAAAAGCAGACCCTCATGGGGTGTGGTGATGCATGCCTATAATCCTGTCGACTCTAGAGGCTGAGACAGGAGGATTGCGAGTTCAAGGCCAGCCTCAGAAACTTAGAGAGGTCCTAAGCAATTTAGCAAGGCCCTATCTCAAAAAATAAAAAGCAGGGTGTGGTGGTGCACACCTTTAAATCCCAGTGGCTGAGGCAGGAGGATTGCAAGTTCAAAACCAGTCTCAGCAAATTTAGCGAGACCCTGTCTCAAAATAAAATAGTCCTTTTTAGACTAGTAGTGTGGTTCAATGGTGAAGCACTCCTGGGTTCAATCCCTAGTACCTGAATAAATAAATAAATAGGGCTAGGGATGTAGCTCAGTGGTAAAGTATACATCCCTTGGTTCGATCCATAGTACCAAAAGAAAAATAGACCCTACTTCTTCCCAACCCTCTTTCCAGAAGACTGAATGCCCAGGCTGGTGGTCAGAGAATTCCTAGAGTGGGTGAGCGTGTGGGGGGGGCGGGGGGGAGGCGCTGGATTGGGAAGAGGTCAAAACTGGGGAGGAGAGGGTAAGACACTGGTAGTTGTGGGAGGCTTTAAGTAGAGGAAGGGCATGTTCAGTGTTTCTGGGGGTGGCATGTGGGTAGCTGACTGAGTTTGAAGAACAGATGGGAATGTACTTCCCTGTAGAGGACCTGGGGAATATTTTATGTTATATCTAGCAGCTAAGAATAAGCCCAGTCCTTTAAGAACCTTTGCCCTTCTCAAGCTCCCAGAGAGAATCTCCACCTTTCCTCTGAGTCCTGCCAACCCCCCTTTTTCTTGTGGTGTGTGTGGGGGGGACTGGGGATTAAACTTAGGTACACTCAACCACTGAGCCACATTCCCAGCCCTTTTTTTTTTAGAGACAGGGTCTCCACTGAGTTGCTTAGCACTTCGTTTTCATTTCTTTGGTACCGAGGATTGAACTCAGGGGTATTTGACCATTGAGCCACACTCCCAGCCCTATTTTGCATTGTGTTTAGAGACAGGGTCTCCCTGAGTTGCTTAGCACCTCACTGCTGCTGAGACTGGCTTTGAACTCACAATTCTCTTGTCTCAGCCTCCCAAGCTGCTGGGAGTACAGGTGTGCACCACTGTGCCCACTCTGCCAACCCCTCTTGCATTACCTGCCTATTCAACTAGAGTTTTTGTGGCCCTAGTTCCAGGAGTGACCCCTCTGCCACCCACATCAGCTGACTTCTCCTCAGGTCCCTATTTTCCCATTTTCTATGCTCATAGCTCTCTTTCTTTATAACCCTCTCCTGATCCCCAGCCAGGGGTGTTTCCCACTCGACTGTGAACATACATGGACACCAATTGCACCATGACTTGGTAGTTAGCAGGGAATATGGTTGAATTAATTCAGGGATGTACATTAGTCAGGGATGAGGTGGTAGAATTTACATAAAAGGGGCCCAAATCCTAGGGGCACTGAGCATGGATATACAAGTGGTGGACCCTGTATAAGGGTTGTCTGTGTGCTGGAGTGGTCTGTGTGCTGGGGTCATCTGTATGCTGGGGACTGGAGATGAACGCTTTGAGGCATCATTCATCAGTGTATGTATTAGGGGCTGGCTCTCCTACCCTAAGTCTGTCCAACTCAAGCAGGAGGGGCCTCAGGGCACTGTCTAGGGCCAAAATATGCTGCAGGTGCTAGGGACACTAATTCCACTGGGGAGGTGACACACAATCAGCTGGCCACCTAAACTCCCCCGCCCTGGGGAAGGAATGAGGGAACAGCTGCCACGTTATCAGGGACACATTTCCTGGGCGCCCGAGACCTGACTCAACTGATGCCCATAGAGGGAGGAGCCCTATTCCTGTGTTTCCCTCTTAGCCCAGTTGCTCTCAGCCCCTCAGCCTGCCCCTAGTGATGTCACAGGCCACATGTCTGTGTTTACACCTTTATTGTCTGCTCCTTTGCCACCCCCAAGGATTCCTGGGCCCAAAATAGCACTGAGGCCCAATTATCCAAAGCTGCTGCAGTCTAGATAGATAGGCCCTCTCCAGGCCTGGGAGAGCTTTAGCAGGTTAGACTACATTCCAGGCATGCTGAGTGGTGGGAAGAGAAGGGGAAGTGGCTCATGAAGCAAGGTCCTCTCAATCCTGGATCAGGGGAATCAGTAACAGCAGGATCAAAGCAGCAGCCTTAGGGGAGCTTGAGGCCCCTGCCAACTCTGGGGGACAGAGGTCACTGCCTGTAGCGGGCCAATATGGGGAGCCACTAGAGGGTAGGAAGTGGGCCTCCGCCACTGTTTGGGAGATCCAGGTTTCTTCAGGGCCAATGGCTGCAAACAGCTCCTGACTCCCTCGGACAGCCATGCCCATGAGAACCCAAGAGCCTCCCTCAGTCTGGCATAGGAGGGGAGGTGCTGAGGTCACCTGCAGAGTTGAAGCCAAGAACAAATGGATCTGTTATCCTTCCTCCTGGTCCACTGCACCTTCCCTTGGGTCCAGCCACAAAGCACTATTGATCTCTATCCTTAGGAATCCTGGCCTCTGGTCTCTCCAAGGTCCAGCTAGGAAGTACTGCTTCTTCCCATTTGGGGTCCAACACCCAATAATTCTAATCCTGGTCTCTCCAGGTTCCAGCATCCCAATACTCCTTCCCCTGACCAGGATGCCCAGGTCCCTGTACCTCACACCTGTCTTCTTGCCCTTCTGCATATAGGACACAGAAAGTCCCAGGGGGCAGAATGCCCTGATAGAGGCAGTGACAGAGCCGTGGTGTCAAGATGGAGACAGCAGTAGCTATAGGGACTAGAGAGAAGAAAGAGGGTTGTCCCAGGGTTCTGGCCTCCAGTCACACCTCATTCCCATGATCCAGGGCTCTCACCTCGGTCCTGGGGATCCTTCCAGCCCAGCACCCAGCAGCTGGCCCCTGGGGGGACACCCCCTTGGTGAAGGCAGATGGGCAGGGCTGAAGGGGAAGGCTCTACCCGGGAGCTCAGCTCCAGGAGGGACAGAGGGGGCCCAAGTCCCAAGTGCCGGGGCAGGTGAATGCTGATGACCATTCGGGATACCTGGCGGCCGTGTGGGAGGGGACTGGCCCCTGCCCTGCCCAGATACACTTCAATGTGGGGCACTATTGAAGAGCCTAGCCTGTTGGAAGAAGGACTAGTGTCACCTTCTGGTTCCTCTCATTGCTGGTAAAGTCCTTTCCAGCCCAGGGGTAAGGGAAGAATGGTTATGTCACTAACTCCTTCATTATTCCTCTTTCCAAATCTCTCTTCTATCTTAAAACATCTCACACAAAAAATCCAAACCCAACCAAACTGACAATAAAAATCTCTCAAAGTAGCTTCCCTGTGCTGTAAGAGCCCAAAAAGGAAAACATCCCGCTATTGTAAAAATCCTTTGGATCATCTCCCATTTTTTCCCTCCAGCCTCTTACCTAGAGATGAGGGAGACCCACCTAAGGACACAGTGAGTGGCTGCCAGGACCCAGCCTGGGGCCACAAGGATCCCAGTGCAGACTCGATCCCCAGCCACATGCACCTCTGCCAGCCAGGGCCATAGCATTCCCTTCTGAGCTGCCTCAGGTCGCAAGCCACAGGCTAGGGAGAAGAAGTGGCCACCTACGTATGAGTTCCACAGGTGGTCTCTGAAGCCTCTCTCATAGATATAAGCACCTCCCGGAACTCCAAAGCCCCAAGGGTCCCCTGCTCACCACCATGCTCTGTGTGTGGGGGACAGGTCTGGGTCTCAGTCTCCTCCCCATCAGGGCCCCAGTCCCAGGCTAGCTGTTCCTCCAGGTAGGCTCCCCGAGTTACATGGCTGATCCATGGGCTATGGGTCTGCAGTGGGGAGAAGGCTCGGGGACGGAGACAGGTACTGGAGAAGTCTCCAATTCCAGCCAGGAACCAGGTCCCCTCCTCCCGACACATAAGGCTCCAATGAGAGTCATTCTGCAGTAAGAATAAGGTGTGTTAATAGCATACATGTTTTGATCCTGTAGAGAACATCAGCATTCTGGGGGCTTTCCGGAACCCCAGATTCTCCATACGGAAACATAACAAGTCCCACCTCTTCCAAACTAGATTCTAGTACTAATTTGTGTAAGAATTCAGCCCTCACTTTAGGATTCTCCTTAAACTTTGGGGTAGACAGAAACCCCAACACCTGCTCAGAGTCCGCCCCAACCCCTTCCCTACTCCAGGATCCGGCTCTGCCCCCACTTGGATCCCATTCCCCTCTTAGCCAGGCTTCCTGTGCCTGTGCCAGATCCCTCGGCCCCTCCCTGGGTCCATAGACCCCGCCCTTGTCGCTCACCCAGCAGCGGCCCGGCTCCTCCTCCTCCTGGTAGGAGGGGCAGAGTTGGTGAGGTGACTGTCCCGGCAGCGGCACGGACGCCCCCTTGTGGCCATACAGACAGTGACACCACCAGCCACCTAACAACTCGGCCTCAAACTGTGCGCTGGGGCCAAGCGCCGGTTCTGGGAGGGGAAAAAGCAGGGATCTCGTGCTGTGGCCGAGTCTGTCCCCGCTCTGCCCCGCCCCAACCAGCGCCAGACTCCTGCGCACCCCCGCGGCCCCAGCGAGCCAGGCGGCAGCGGCTCCCAGGCAGGAAGTAGTGTTCCGGGTAGGGTAAGCACACGGCGCGCGGGCCTGAGCTCAGGTTCACGGGCGCGTCCAGCTGCAGCAGCGCCAGGTCTGAGGCGTTGTCCCACGTAGCGTTCTCGTGCGGTACGAAGCGCGACACCCGCTCCGAGCGCGGACGTGAGGGCAGCAGTACCCGCCAGGAGTCGAGGTCGCGGGGTGGGTTATCAGAGGTGATCGAGCTGCGGGATGGAGACGCTGGGGACGTGCGCATATCCCTCACATACGGCTGGAAACCGCGCACCCCAGACTTTGATTTTATCTCCAGGCTAGAATCCCTCTTCCAAACAGGAACCATAGCCCCACCCCAGTTCCAAACGAGTTCTCAGACTCCCTCATGCTGGATCGGACGTACACTACCCTCTACCCCTCCCAGCTAGATTAGGACCCCTCTTTATAAGCTGAATCCTACACCGTGGAATCTGATCCCGCGCTCCAGTTTGCAGCCCCACCACCCTCCACCCTCCACACCCGGCACAAAGGGCTGAACCAACTAGATGGAGTCTCATGCGGATGGATGGAAAGGCAAGAATCTCCCTGTGCTGTGGATTCTCACTCACTCCAGAAAGCAGCTGGCAGGTGCCAAGACCCAGCTTTCTGACACTAGCGTTCCATGGCAGGGTCTGGATCCTGGCACTATAACTTGGGCCTCCCAGGGCCAGACCCCTGGTCGCCGAGCCTTGCCGCACTCTGAGGAGTGAGAGACCAGGGTTAGGGAGGCTTCAGAGCCCTACTTAACTCCAGCAGTCTTCACCCCAACTCAAATCTCCCCAGTCTCCAACTCCCATCCAGGGCTCCTGCCCCCTCACCTGGCAGAGCAATGGTGCAGTTCTCCTCCCTAGATTCCCAGGGGCCTGTCTGGGATTCCTGGGGCTGGTTGGGAAAGGCAGGCCCAGGCTCCAAACCCATCACCTGTTCCCGGATCCATGTTTCATAGGGAGCCACAGCAGTGAAGACTCCAGGGCGGTTCCTCCTTCCACAGCCAAAGCCAAAGCTAGTGATTCCTGCCTGGAACCAGCGGCCGCCTTCCTCACAGACCAAGGGTCCCCCAGAGTCACCCTAATAATAGGTGATTTGTGTCGGGGGACCAGCCCAAGGATGCACTGGCTTTTTTCTGGCTGGTGGCAAAGGTTCTCCACCTTTTATTGGCCTTACTCAGCCCCTTCTAGAAATCTCCAGTGGCTGACCCTTGTTCTCTGTATTCCTTACACCTCTAAAGAAAAGAAAGCCTTGTAAAACAAAGACTGAGCAGCCACAGCCCAGAGCACTAAATTAACCCATTAAAGACCACACAAGAACAGGGGCAGTGGTGCAAGCCTGTAATCCCAGTGGTGGCAGCAGGCTGGCAGAAGGATCTTGAGTTCAAAGCCAGCTTCAGCAAAAGTGAGACATTAAACAACTCAGCCAGACCCTGTCTCTACATAAAATACAAAATAGGACTGGGGATGTGGCTCAGTGGTCAAGTGCTCCTGAGTTCAATCCGCGGTACCCCCACCCACACCCCAAAAAAACCCACACAAGAGAACCCTGAAGATCTCATTCAGAGTCGAATGATTCTTGTCTAACAAATAATCCAAATAAACCCTTGTCTTTGATTTCTAAGTTCACTCAATTTTTGTCTTTGCTCTTTGTTTCTTTGTGGTGCTGGGGCTAGAACTCAGGGCCTAAAAAATGCTAAGCATTCACTCTGCCACTGAGCCCCCACCCAATTGTTAAAAAAGTAAATAAAAAATACCAGCATTAAGGAGGAAGATGCTGTTAGAAACAGGCAATCTGTCTATTCAGTAAAATGGGACAGATGGAAAGCAAAAAGGATGAAGAATTACAATGAGCAGACACTGGGGTCATTGGATGCTGGAGCATTGCCCCTAATGTATCTCTGTAACCCAGGTCAGAGTCAGCATCTCTGTGGCCTAAGGATATTTGTTTGTTTTTGGTGCTGGGATTTTTGTTTTTGGTGTTCTACCACTGAGGTACAACCCCATCCTATTCTATTTTTCATTATTAGAGTCTTGCTAAATTGCTGGGCCTAAAACTTGTGTTCCTACTGCCTCAGCCTCCCAAGTGCTGGGAATCTTTTATTTTTTTTTTAGGGACTAACCCTGAGCTACTGGGATTACTGGCTGTACCACTGTGCCTGGCAAAAAAAAAAAAAAAAAAAAATTTTTTTTTTTTTGGAAGCACTGGGGATTGAATGCAGGGCGTTGTACCTGCTAGGCATGTGCTCTATCACTGAACTATACCTCCACCCCAATTCCATAAGCAATCTTGCCCGCTTTTTGCAGAAGAGACTCAGAGAAATATTTGTCTATTGCTTAGCTGCTTCCTACAGGTTAGGGATCTGGTTCTGCCAGGTAGGTGCAGGGTCCTTTCCTCACCTGGCAGGTGTCCCTCCGTCCCTCTGGGTAGCCAGCACACAGCATCCCTGGCAATAGCTGGAAAGTGAGGTTGAAGGGGCCAGGCTGGCTGTAGAGACACTGACAGGCGGCCTCTCCCAGAAGCCTTAGCTCCACTTCCTGTAGCACCCAGGGGAGAGGCAGAGGGTCTGGGGGCAGAAGCAGAGAGCAGATACTGTGAGGTAGGTATAGAGCACCCAGTTTCCCAGGGCTGTTTTGTCTCCTCCAGTTACCTCCTGGTCATCAAGATCCCCATGGCACCCTGGCCTACCACATTCACCACATCTTATCATGCTTCTCGTCCCATGTTCTCATCTCAGGCATAGCCTCAGCAAGCATCCAGTGAAAATTGTCATGTGCAGGTTGTACACTGAACAAAGGTCCCATCCAACAAAGTATACATGTAGGGGCTAAAATCATTAAGCTCTGATCCCTGACATGGAGTTTTGTTGGTCCAGAAAGTACATCCTTTGAACAAAGATGTCCTATAGACTACATGTGGTTCTATATTGAGTTGCAAAGCATGGAATCTGGCTGTCATCTCTAATCCCTTTCTCAAGTTGTCTTTTCTCAGTCAATTCCCAAGTCATTTGTGACTTCTCAGCATTCTTACAGCAACTGCCCTAGTCCAGGCAGCATAATCTTGGACCTGGATGATTGACCTAGCCTCCTGACTGATCTGTTCCCTAATCCACTCAGCACTTGTTACAACCACAGGAATGTTTCTCAGGTTAGCCCTGATCTTACCAAGAATAATAGATGGATCCTGTGGTCTAGACATGGACCCTCAGCTATCCTGCTTTTGATGAAAACAAGGTTTTGGGATACCGAAAGGGACAAGGAAAGGCATGGACAGAACTCATTCCCTACCCAGCCGGAGTTCTGAGAAATCAGGGGATGTCTGAGGTTTGGGGGTTGTCCTAGGGATCCCTGGAGCTGGAGGGCTACTCTGTCCCTCAGTCTGACCTGAAGGCCTTTATTGCCTCAGCACCCTTCACTGTAGCATGATGTCCTGGCCGTTCCAGGGTCCCAAGGGAAGATGGCCATCATCTTCCCCTATCTTCCTGAAATACATGCTCTCTGCATAAAACTTTCCTAGAAAGCCCCTGCTCTGGGGTCCCATTGTCTGGTAGCTTGGTCATGTCCATGCAGACTTTCTAGGTGCTCGTCAGGACTTCCCTGTTGCCTCCTGCCCTGATGGGGCCCATGCAAATAGAGATTGCAGCATCTCCTCCTGCAGCACCCTCCCAAATACTCCAGAACTGGCACAATCTGATCATAGCAGATATAGGGGGCTTTCTAGCATAGAAAGGTAACAATGAGTGATGGAGATGACAGAGAATGGAAAAGTAGTGCATCCCCTCACACCTTCCATCACAGTGTTTGCTTGTTTACTGGATTTACTTTTTTATCTACTTACTAGAATGCAAGCTCTGAGAAAGCAGGTCTTTTTTAAAAATTTTTTTTTGTGTGTGTTTACTGGTACACACACACACACACACACACACACACACACATTTGTACTGGGGATTGAACCCAGGGGTGCTTTACCACTGAACTGCATCCTCTCAGTCCTTTTATTTATTTAATTAATTTTGGGACAGGGCCTTGCTAAGTTTCTTAGGGTCTTTCTAAATTGCTGAGGCTGGCCTCGAACTTGAGAACCTCTTGCCTCAGTCCTGAGTCTCTGGAATTATAGGTGTGTGCCACCGCACCCAGCTTCACTGGTATAACTTTAATGCCTAAAACAATGCCTGGTACATAGGAATATCTCAATCAACAGAATGATTGAATGAATGAGGGTGGGTAGGAGGAAGTCAGGAGGTGAGGAGTTGGAAGATGAGTGGGGAGGAAGAAGGATGGGAGGAAAAGAGAGCAAAAACATTTTCTGCGCGCCTACTATATGCCAGGTGTTATGCTTTGGTGCTTTAACGCGGATTATGTAATGCAAAAATATCTAAAATGAATTAATTATAGCCATGCAACTTTTCGCGCATTTTCCCATTTAATCCACACAATTACCCCATGAAGTGAACACTACTATTTGCCTTTTTTTTTTTTTTTTTTACAGGAGAGAAAATGAACTGGGAGAAATGCTTTGTCTGAACTAGCAGAGTCAGAGCGGGAACCTTGGTTGGACCTAAATCCAGAAAAGGAAAACCTGGAAGGAAGGTGAGGCGGAAACGGGGTGTGTAGGCGATTCAGTGGTCTTAGTTTGAGAATTCCCGGGGAAGAAGAGATGGAGAGAGGTGCAAATTTTCCAGCTGTCTAGCAGAAACCTAGCCCCTTGGGGCGTCTCTGGAGGGCTCTCTCGAGTCCCGCCCTCGGGCCCCGCCCACTTGCGAGAGCCAACTTTTAAGACACGCCCCCGCGGTTCCTCTGAAGAGCTTAAGGTAGGCTCAGACCCTCCGACGTCGACGTCTCCCGCCCGGCCCCGCCCCACTCACCTGCCTCCTGCACGTCCCCCCAGCCGGTGGCCCAGCAGGCGGTGCCGTGAACAAAGCGGTGCGAGGCTCGCGGCAGGCAGATGGGCCGCACGGTGGGGCCCAGCTTGGCGGGCGAAGCTAGGCGCAGCAGGGCCAAATCGGAGCCAAGTTCCACTTTGCTGTAGTTGTCAGGCACCAGGATAGCGGCCACGGAGCGGACATGTGTACCTTCCAGGGGCCCGTCCTGGGAGTGCACGCCCAGCAGCACCGACCACTCGGACGCGGGCTCCAAGGTCCCGTTCCTGCGTAGAGGCCATGAGGGGGTGGTGGTGGGGGTCGGGATTAGGTTAACCCCATGAAAGGGGTTGACCCGCTTGTGGATGAGGGTTCAGAGCTAGAGAAGGTGGTGAGGTCCCCAGGTGGGACGGAGTTCAGATTCAGATTTGGGGCTGAGAGGTTGAGACAGATTTCTAAAAGAGGAGGGGTGAGACTGATTTAGAAGTGGTGACTGGGGATTTTGTAAAAGTGAGATTCAGTCTCAGTGATATTTAGCGGAGTGGTGGGATGAGTCTGGTGACAATGGCCTCCCTTATCCAGCATCTCCCTTACCCAGAACCTCGCAGAGCACCTAGTTTGGGGGACAAGAGAGAGAGGACTTGAGAGAGGAAGCTGGAGCAGCTCCGCTCTAAATTAGCCGTAATAAGGGGGAACAGGGTGAGGGATAAAGCTGTGGGGTGGGGTTGGCCTTTGAAGGACAGGGACTGAGTGGGCAATACTCACGTCACGAAACAGTGAGCAGCAGAGAGAACCCAAGAGGGGGCGATGAGGGAGCCTCCGCAGATGTGGCCCCTGCCTTGATGCAGGCTTACTTGCCAAGGCCAGGTTCCTGGCTGAGCGTCTGAGCCCCCCATGATGCGGGCAGAGGGCTCAGGGTGCCCACAGTCTGCAATAGGGAACCCTGGGAGGTCAAAACCCACCTAATGATCCCCTACTGCAGAGGCCCAGGTAACTCAGGACAGAGCCCAGTACTCCACCCAGCTTCTGTTTGCCCATCTGAACCAAGAACCTGGAGAACCTAGGTACTTCTGAATTTCCAGGCACTTCCACCTCCCTCAGAGTGGAAATGATGGGTCAAGCCAGCCATAAGGTCTTTTTAGATCAGAAGACACCCGGGCTTCCTTTTCTTTACCCAGATCTTCAGGTTCTTCTGTAGGACTGAGAGCTGGAAACCAGAAGGTAAAAAGAGGTAGATAACTGGTGACTTCCAGCACCTCTCACTGCCCAGGCCCGATCTTCCTCTTCTCCACCCAACTCCTACCTTCCCAATTCCCTGTCCTTTCAGCCCCACTGCCAGCACCTACGCTACCCAGCCTAACTTTCCTGCTTCTGCACATGACTTTCCCCCAGTTCAGCTGCCTTACCTGAGTCCTGGAAGGCTCTTGGGATGGGATTGATGGCTGGGAAGACAGGAGGCAAGAAGAAGCCGGAGAGCTGCACTTAGTAGGTGTCCTCCCTGACTCCCTCCTCCGTTTCACAGCTGCTCTTTGCCCTTGGCATCTGGGCCTCCTTTCTCCCTCCTATGATACACTGTTCCTCTCCCTTCTGATACCTCTGATACCTTCTGATACCTTCCCTCTTCTGTCATCCCCTTCTCCTTTCTCCTCTGACATGGCATCCCCCCCCCTCTGACCTCTCACTCTCTAAACAGAACCTGGGAATCCTGCTTCACAGTCTGCCAGGTGCTAGCATCCCAACCCCCTTGCCACTGTCCCCTATCTCCTGAGATTACCGAAGATCACAAGTGGGAGAAACAGGTGCTGGGACATGGCACACTAGAGTCAGCTGGAGGTACAGAGATGGGTGAAGATCTGCTTCCTGCCACAGCTCTGTCACTGCCTTGGCATCCTGTGACTCCTAATAGTCCCAAGAGCAGTCCCACCCTCCCTGGCTGGAGCCCATCTCTGGGAATCTGAGAGGATCTGGGGCTGGAAGGAGGAAATGGGGAGCCTGAAGTCCCCACCCAGAGCTCTGAGAACATCTCACATCTCTGGAGTCCTAGGTTAGGGGTGGGGGAAGGAACCCTAGCTCCAGGACACTTGTTGTGGGGGAGGGAGGATTGGAGAAAACTATAAGCAGAGGTCAAAGAAGAGGACAGCCGGGAGTTGGGAGCCTGTGTACTAGGTCCTTGGTGAAGCAGGGCTTCGGTGAGCAGTGACCCTTGGGACAGGGGAAGAGGCCCCTCATTGGCATTACTCACCAGAGACCTCACCTCTCTTTGGGGTGTGGCTGCCCCAATGGCTTGGCCTTTTCTTCTCACACAGCTCTGGTTACTGGTGTTGCTGGCCAGGTCTGAGACAAGAGCTCAGGGGAATTCAATCCTATCCCAACAAAAGGATCACAGATTTCAGCAGGTCAGGCAAGGCATCAGGGTTCCAAGAGGGGGCTGGGCAGGCTGGCAAGGCCAAAAAAGACTCTACCTTTCTCTGTGTTAGCATGGGGACTCTCAGGTGATCTGTCACTTACCCTTTGTGTGACCTTAGGAAAGTCACTCAACTTCTCTGTACTGTATATCATTAAAAGCCCGTTTGAGAAACATGACTCCTCAAAGAGGAATTGAGGAGAGTTTAGTGAAGGAACTATTTACAGAGGAATCCGCAGGATTAAGGGAAACCATCAAAGGATGGTGCAGCACCTGGGGCTAGTAGTAATGAAGAGCCCTTGATACCTGGTGGCCCAAAGAGGTGAAGAGAGGGAGCCGTTTCTGGCACTTAGAATTGCAGCTGTAGGGAACAGCCTGCCAGTAGGAGCTGTGGCCTTCAGTAGAGAAATGCAGCTTTTCTCAGTCTGACCCAGCAGGGATGGAGCTTGGAAAGAAAAATTTCCATCTTACTCTTTCCATCCTCTGATCACCTACCAGCTCCTCTCATTGTCTGATACCTACCAGAAGCCAGAGTGCTGGGGAGCCTATCTTAGAATAACAAAGTACCGCAGATTGGGTAATCTATAAAGAAATTTATTCTTCACAGTTCTGGAAGCTTAGAAGCCCAATACCAAGGTGCCAGTATCTGGCAAGGGCCTTCTTGCTGTATTACTCCACAGTGGAAGGCAAAAAGACATAGAGATAGAGATAGAGATAGAGATAGATAGATAGATAGATAGATATATATATATATATATATAGAGAGAGAGAATATTAAACTGTAGGCCTCAAGTTCTTTTATAAGCAGCATTAATCCATTCATGAGAGTGGCACCCTCATGGCCTAATCACTTCTCAAAGGTCCCACCTCTTCTGCCTTATTGCCATTGAGTTGAGGTTTTGCTCTGATGCTCAGACTATAAGATTCGTGGGCTCAAGTGATTCTCCTGCCTCAGCCTCAATAGCCGGGACTACAGGTGTGCACCACCACATTGGCCTAGGTCCCACCTCTTAACCCTATTCCATTGAGGATTAAGTTTTCCACACATGAACTTTAGGGGGTATGTTCAAATTACAGAAAAGCTCATGATCTGGTCCATGTTCTCTGGAAGGAACAAATCAAGATGGAAGAGGCTTAGAGAGTGGAAATGATGGGTCAATGAGAAATACCCACACAACATGTATATATATTTTTTCACCAATAATATAAACTAATAATAATATTACTCTACTAGTCTAATTTGCCTAGAAAACAGGCCTAGGCAGAGCCTGCATGCTTGAACTTTTTTTTTTAACATTTATTTTTTAGTTGTAGTTGGATACAATACCTTTATTTTGTTTACTTATTTTTATGTGGTGCTGAGAATCAAATCCAGGGCCTCACATGTGCTAGGTGAGTGTACTATCACTAAGCCACAACCTTAGCCCTTGAACTTTCTTTTTTTTTTTTTTTTTGTGGTCTTGGGGATTGAACTCATGCCCTTGTGCTTACAAAGCAGGCACTCTATCAACTGAGCTAAATCCTCCACCCTGCATGCTTGAACTTTATTGAGAGGTACAATCCCAGGGCAGCAGCCAGAGTGAGGAAAATGGGAAGTGAGAAAGGAAGGAGGAAATAAAGACAGCAATTAACTGGATTCAATTGCTAATCTTTTGTGTGTGTGTATGTGAGAGAGAGAGAGATTGAACTCAGGGGCATTTAACCACAGAACCACATCTCCAGCCCCCTTTTTATTTTGGAAGAATATTAAACTGTAGGCCTCAAGTTCTTTCACAAGCAGATTTAATCCATTCATGAGAGTGGCACCCTCATGGCCTAATAACTTCTCAAAGGTCCCCCTTCTTTTGTCCTTATTGCTATTGAGTTGAGGTTTCACTCTGTTGCTCAAACTATCAGATTTGTGGGCTCAATTGATTCTCCTGCCACAGCTTCAGCAGCTGTGGGGATTGAACCCAGGGACGCTTAACCACCATACCACATCCCCAGCCCTTTTTCATATTTTAGAGGCGGAGTTTTGCTGAGTTGCCTAGGGCCTTGCTAACTTGCTAAGTCTCGATTTGAACTCATGATCCTTCTGCCTCAGCATCCTGAGGATTACAGGTGTGCAGGGGATTTAGCTCAGTTGGTAGAGTGCCTGCCTTGCATGCCTGTCTCAGTTGCTACTCTTGGTATCCTAGGATGGTCTACAGCAAATGGTGGTAACAGTTTCAGACTTGTCAACACTATTCAGGGGTTTCTACGTCTCCTTAGGCACTCAGTCAACTTGCTGCTTGTGTTAGTCAACTTTTTCATTGCTGTGACCAAAAAACCTGATAAGAACAGTGTAAAGAAGGAAAAGTTCATTTGAAACTCACTGTTTCAGAGGTCTCAGTCCATATATGACCTATTCCATTGCTCTGGGCCTGAAGTGAGGTAGCACATCATGAGGGCATGGCAGAATAAAGAAGCTCAGAGCATGGCACCAGGAAGCAGAGAGAGTTCCACTCACCAGGGACAATATATAACCCCCAAAGGCACTCCCCCAGTGACCTATATCCTCCAGCCACACTCTACCTGCCTTCAGTTACCATCCAGTTAAACCCTAGCAGGGGATTAATCCACAAATTGGGTTATAATGCTCATCTAATTGTTTCATTTGTGAACCTCGTTATATTGTCTCACATGTTAGCTTTTGGGGGACAACTCCTATATAAACCATAATACTGCTTCTGTGGGTATCTGTCCCCCCCAAGGACATAGAAGTCATTCATAAAAAGAGGTAATGGGCAAACCAAGGTAGGAAAGAAGAGTGGGTGTGCTTGTTGCAAAACACACATTCCATGATTAGTCCTACCTTCAAACTGCTTGGCAACCTCAGCAACTTAGGTAGACCTTGTTTCAAAATTAAAAAAAAAAATATATAAAGGGATGGGGATGAGCTCAGTGGCAGTGTATCCCTGGGTTCAATCCCCAGCACTGCGAAACACAAACCAACCAACAAGAACAACAACAAAAACAAAAACACAAAGCAATGGATTTTGTTGGAAGGAGGAGAACGCTTCCCTCTGGGGAAATAAATTGGAATATCTCGGGTTTGCAAGTGTAGTTTGCAAAACCTGCCTTGATGATTCTGATAGTTCTACGACCTAAGATGCCATTGTTTGAGATTAACAGCTCTAAGCTTCCTAGGAGCCAGTGCGAAGAGGGAAACCCAAACTGGAGTCTCTCTCTTCCATATACAAAGACCGCAAATAAATTCCTCCTCTGTCATGGAGGGTACACTATTGTAAATGAACCCTTCCTCAATGGCATCATTATGGCAAAAGCCACAAAGAGTTTCATAGTACTGCTTAATATCAGCCAATGATACCATAATCAAGCCACAATAAATATAATAGATGTATGGGAAGCACCTTTGGGTAAAAGAATTAATATATATCAGTTCTCTGCTGCTCTGATTAGCTGCAGGGGACATTATAGATCAGCTAGCGTATGTGTTTCTGATGCTGATGTAACAAATTACCTAGTGGCTTAAAATAATGCAAATCTTGGGCTGGGGATGTGGCTCAAGCGGTAGCG